CATCCGCTTGTTAGAGCATGCAATCGTGTTCAAGTGGTGATTTTACTCAAATTGGTATGTGATTTAACCAGAGTGATACCAGTCCAAGCCCGCAAGAATTTCACAAAATTTGACACTTAGGTTCTTAAATTCATATGGTAAAATAAAGTGCTTACAGCTGACTAAAACACCCTCCTAAGGAAACACGCATAAAGCTGAATCAGTAATAATACTTGACATAAGGCCAGAGTACTTGATGCGCATTAGCAGAAATACAAAGCTACAATATTTGGTGAAACAGAGCACATAAGGAAGGCTTGAGAGATGGTTCAACAATCAAAAGTACATGCCACTCTGACAAGGAAGCAAGGCTCCGTTCCCAGCCCCTGAGACAGGCAGCTGAACACCTGTAACGCCTTCTCCAAGGGCTATGACTCAATGTTTGACTTCTACAGGCGTCGGCACGAGAGCACACACACACACGGGTATGCAGGCACACAGACATGCACATGCAGATAAAAAAAATAAAATGTGTTACATAAAAACGAGGAAGATTTTTATCAAAGTGCCAAGATAATTCGGTAGGGGAAGAAAATGCCTTTCAAATAATGATGGTATAGCAGTGAAGCATCCTTCTGGAAGAATTAATGATCCCTGACACTTGTCTCACTGAATAGACAAAACCTAATTTGAGACGGATTACAGAATTAAATGTAAGAGCCAAGTCAATAAAACCTGGAGAAGAAAATATGAAAGAACACCTCATCATTTGTGATGCGCAAAGACTTTTTTACATGAAGCACACACAAAAGTAACGGATCTAAAAGGCGTAGTGACAAAATCACTATCAATAGTAATGTTTCATTAACAATATACTTAATTTAAACAAGCCAAAGGGGAAGACACGCTACAGGAAACCCCTGGAATACAAGTCTAACAAAGGATTCGCATACAGAATACAGTTCGTTACTATAATTATTTTAAAAACTTCATTTTTAATTTTTTGAGTGTCTGGAGCTGGAGGGATAACTCAGCAATTAAGATCACTTTTTTCCATTCTTGCTGAGGACCCAGGCTCAGTTCTCAGCACCCACATGGTGGCTCACAATTATCTGTAAGTTTATCATACTTCCAATGGATCTGATGCCCTCTTCTAGACTCCACAGGCACCAGGTATGAGCACTGTTCCATATGTACAAGTAGCCAGAACACTCAGTTGCATAAAACAAAACAAAACAATCTTTTGAAAAGCTGTACATATGCCTGCTTGTGTGCGGTGGATGTCCATGTGTGTATGCGGCACCAGTCACCCAAACCAATCCACGTGGAGGCCAGAGACGGATGCTAGGATGTCTCTCCCCATGCTGCGTCTCCTTGGTGAGTGAACAGGATCTTTACTCAGCCTGCTCCAACTTGAGTGGCTGCCAAAGAAGCCCCTGGGATTTGGGTGTCTCTGTACCCCAGCTGGAGAGGGAGCGCATGTATTTGTGCTTGGACAGCGCAAGCGCTGCGCCCACTCACCGACACGACCTCCATGTTTTCAAGTGGTCAAAAGGCCCGAACAATTTTCACAAAGCACGGAAGTAGCCGGCAAATACTTGAAGACTTTTCACTCGGCAAACGCAAACGCAACTCAAAGTACAGTACCATTTCCCATGCTCCAGAACTGCCTGAAATTAAAATGCTGACACCACCGTACGTGGGTGAGACTGTGAGACAACCAGAGTCCGTACAAGGCTGACAGACGCACAAAATGGTGTGAGAATGTTTGAACACCAGCAGTTTCTTATAACATTAACCACTCATCTACTCTACTACTGGACAGTTCCTTTCCCAGAAAATGACCCGTGAGAAACAAAAACAAATGGCAACAAAACACCTGTGTTTTTAAGGAAACTTATTCATCATAGACAAAAAAAAAGACAATGGCCCAAACATCCCCAAATGTCCATCAACCTGAGATTAGACTAAAAATGATCACAGAAACATCTGCGGAATTGCCACACAATTACAACTAGGAAATAACAAACATGGATTGTTTATACAAGCAACAACTAGATGAATCTCAAAAGTATGCTGAACCAAGAAACTTAAACGTTTAAAAAGTTTTGTCCCTCTTACATGAACACACACACACAAAAATGAGGACTTAGATTCAAAACGTGATTGTCTGTGAAATACAGATTAGCCTACCTTGGGACACAAAGGAACTCTGGAGTTTGGGAGAAGTCTATACGGAAAATAAACTATGCTGTGGATATTCACATGGCTACTTATACACTGGCTACTTACATGAATCAGTAAAATAGGTGAGTGTAAAAGGAGCAACAGGTTTTATTTACAAGTGAATAAACTGAATGTAATAAAGGTTCCCTGGGCATTTGTGGTTAGAGTTAACACCATTGAACACACACACACACACACACACACACACACACACACACACACACAACACTAAGGGAGACCATATAATGAGAAAATCACACGCGAAGTCCCTGATTCTCATGTGCCCTCTCTAAGGTTTATGTCGGACTCAGTTCTCATTACAGTGGTCTTAAGGGTTGGAATCTTCACAAAGTCATTAAATTGTGAGAGTTCTGCCCTCATGAATGAATCCGTGCCTTATAAAAGAAGTAGAGAGAACTTCCCTAGTCCTCCATTTTTACCTCCTCTCCCTGTTGCCACCTTGGAAGTAGACAAACCTGATGGCATCTATATGTGGAACTTCCAGATGGTCAACACAACGAGGGATAAATTTTTCTATCTTTGTAAATGACTCAGACTTTGTTAATGTGTTCTTGCCACACAAACAGAACTGAAACATGGAGACAGGATGTGTGGTGATAGCCCTTTTGGAAAGCTCTGCTGCTCAGAAACTAATAAAAGCTTGAGGGTAGCGTAGAGTCAACATAAGAATTGTTGTTAAGCCGTAATATATTACAGCCCTCTGTACCATGAAAGAGATTCAGAAAATAAGGAATGTACGGAAATGCAGAAGAGGAGAGGGCACAAATGCCAAAGTGACATCTTAGAGAAGGGGAGGACCACCCAACATAAAAGTAGGAAATTCTCAGAAAAGTCATTGACGAACCATCTTGAGGTATTAACTATGTACCCCAGATTCAGAGAGACGGTGAGCTAAATGCTGATTGCTGGCTGGCATTTGTCCAGTTTCAAGACAGTCACTGTGTGCAGCTCTTCGTCTGTCCTCTGTCTGATTGTGTAAACTACTCACGCTGGATGATGTCAAAACAACCTGTACCTCTAAGCATGCGAAGGAGGCCCAAGCGGTAATTAAGGATGGGTAATGAATTTGGATTCAGAAACTGCAACAAAATGTTTGGGGATCTGATATCTTTAACAACGATGCCCAAAAGACAGGCACAGAAAAAAAGTGGAACGTTGTAACGCATCTTGGTCCTATCTAGCTTAAAAAGCAGAGTTGAGACCAGAGTAGAATAGTCATTAATTATCCCTTCCCCACCTGGAGCTGATTGAAAGACTGGGCTCTTACATAAGTGCCACAAATATCCTAAACTGCCTGTGATTTCTCTAAGCCTCGCTGATGTAGAATTGATATCACTAAAGCCGCATACAGGACTATCACACACACACAAGGAGCCTGTGTCCAACATCGACAAATACCCACAGCTTGAGATTAATAGTCAGGAATTAGGAGGGCAGGAACCTTCGATAAAAGCCACATGCGAAGGGCAGAGTGGATTTTTAATATTGGGGACAACAAGCATTAACTAATTTCTCCTACCGGAGTGCACTGTCCTTTAGTCTCTATTTTTGCTCCTAATTGTTCCTGCAGGTAGCAGGTTAACATGGACCACACTTAGAGAAGGAAGCAATTGAACGCGACATAGATACTGAAAGAAAGGGCTCAATAAAAGAGCAGCGTGTGCTCTAATCCGGCCCTTTACAGCACCCACTATCAAAGAGCTTTGGGGGTTTAAGGGGATTAGACACCATAACCCATCTGTCAGGTCATTATGGAAGGAGACCCTCCTGCTGCTTTCAAGGGAGGATGCCCTACTGTATATTATTATCATCAGGCGTTTACAGAGTGCTATAAGCAGCCAGCGTGCTTTCAGAACATTTCTATCTGCTGTCCCTCCCGAAGCACTGCCACCTCTAAGAATTATCTACAAAAATGGGGAAACCAGGCTGAGGTACCAGAAGATGGTGGCAAGTGTCTCATTCACCCAGAACACAGCGGGAGCTATGAGGGTAACTCAGAGCCTTGAAAAGAAAAAGGAAAAAAAATAAAGTTTCCTCTTTGAGGACACACCAGGGGTGTGAGATGAGGGCTGAGCATGGAAGCAGGTGCAGGGGAGTGCATATTAAGGCCACGCCCAATTTCCTCAGGTTTCCTTGCAGTCTCACACACGATTCCGTAACAAATGCCTCAGGGTAGTTTTCTGCAGACATGTGACGCGTCTTAACCACAGCTGTACGCCATGATTGGCACAGCTCCATGTGGGAGGAGAAGCAGACGGCATTGGAGCATGAGTGAGTATAACGATGGACTGATATATTCCGCTATCATTCACGCAACTGGAGATCCCAAATCTAGTGCATAACGAGGCAAAAATGAGACACCACATGCCCATTCGTCCATATTGCTTGTAATTTTCTAATTCAGCTTTAAGCATACACCCTGAAGAACAGAGTCAAAAGTTCAGTGCCCACTGTGCCCCAGCAAAGTTGTCTGCTACAGGTCCCAGGAAAGGAGTAGTTAGCATTGCACAGTAGCCTGGGGGTGGGATCATAATCCGACAGTTGTTTTTGCTTTTGTTTGTTTTTTTCTGAGGCCCCCTCCCCCCGTTCAAAAGAGAATTAATAGGATCATTTTGTGACTACTACTTCTGATGGGGTTACAGCTTTCATCTTAAACGGAATGAAACCTCAAGCTTATACAACAGGCACTTTTCCAACCAAGCCATCGCTCAAGCTCCTAGTTTTCACAACGTCCTTTAATCATAAGCTGATAAAAAATGATTTTTGACACTCACCCATTATCTAGTGATAGCCTGCCATGCAGTAGGCCCGATCTCTTTCCCAGTAAGATCTCAGGCAGACGAGGGTCATCATCTCACTCATCTGGAGGAAGGAGGAGGAAGGGTATGAAGAAGTATCCACAGTAGATTTCAGCTGGAATGCTTCTCCAAGGTCGTGAATGGGTAGGGTGAATGGAAGCCTGGAGGAATCCTTCCAGCGGGAGTGGGCATGCGTAAAGGCATCCGGGCAAGGATGTTGATAGCCTGCCGAGGTGTTTAAAGGGGGGTCAGAGTGCTGTTGGCTGTAGCTCTTACTTAATTTCTGGTTGAGTCAGAAGTACATGTCTTTTCCCCGTCTTCTGGCAGGGAAAATCCACAGCCCAGTGCCGTAGCACCCAAGTCACCGTCACATTGCCTCAACAGGTTTTAATTGTAAGGGCTACAGCCTGTGAATTCAGACAGTTGCGATGGTCTGTACATGATTTGAATATTCAGCTACATGGGAAGCCGCTGGTTACCTTCTTAGACTTTCTCTTACTCAACGCATTTCTTCTTTTCACACCACTCCCACGTCTGTACCTCCGGTCCCTCCTAACTCTCATCTGGACCACGGAAATGGTCTCTTGACTTGCTTTCTCATCACTGCTAGAACAACTTCTCAATTTATAGATGCATATGTCCTGATCCCTCTCTCTCTCTCTCTCTCTCTCTCTCTCTCTCTCTCTCTCTCTCTCTCTCTCTCTCTCTCTCTCTGTGTGTGTGTGTGTGTGTGTGTGTGTCTTTCCCTCTCTCTCTCTCCCCTCTGTTGGGGAAGTCCTGTGTATACGTCAATAAAGCACTGTTAGCCAATAGGAAAGTAAGATAGGTGGGACTAAAAGTCGAGGAAGACTCTGGGAAGGAGAAAGATAGAGAGTCAAGATGTAACACCATGGAGTAGGAAGCCCGGAAACCTCTCCCGTAAGAGAAATCCTTAGATTAACAATTATGGGATAAATACTTAAGTCAGAGCTAGCCAGTAAGAAACAAGCAAGGCCAACAGCTTCATAATTAATATAGCCTCCTGTGTGTTTATTTGGGACTGATGCAGCTCTGGAACCAGGCTGGCGGGAAGGCTTCTCTCAAGGAAAAGGTTTCCTTTTACAAAATGGTGTCAGAGCGGGATTGAATTTCCATGTAGAATGGCAAAAGCTTTAAAGGAATTTTAGAAACAGAAGAACAGAGAGAAGCACAGATTTTTGGTAGCAGCATTTTCTCAGGTGAGCTGTTTTGCTAGCAGCAAGCAGAGACTCGTGGCTTGCTTAAGGCAGTCATCCTGACTCAGCATAAAAAAAAAACCAGCAAGGTTCTTTTAAGAGGCTTTGCTAATGATTTAAAAGTTGTATGTACAGCTGGAAGTGGCAGTGACCTCATCTCCAAGCCGGCAGCTGGAGTCAGGCTTACGCCCGCCATCTTGGAAAAACCGCAGTTTAAAACAGCCGAGGTTTTAACAGATAAGACACTTGGCCAGAAAAACGTAAAGATTTACAGTAAAGTCAGACTTGGATGAACAAAACCTCTAAAGGTTTACAGTGTGTTTAATAATATACGTAAGATTGAGAGAGAAAACGAAAAGGCATAGTGTTAAATAAATAGAGAAGCCGGTTGTGGTGGCGCAAGACGGTAGGAATTACTCCAGAGGCAGGGGCAGGCAGATTTCCAAAGAGAAACCCTGTCTCAGAGAAAAATAAATGAAAGTAAAATAAATAAAGTAATAATTGATAAATAAATAAGCCACCTAAAGATGGAAAATACACAGAGAGTCTAGATACTGTACGCTATTATGTTTTCCAGTTTTTCGATTGCTCAGGAAGGAACAACTGCTAAAGTACACTTGATTATAAATGCTGCTGAATTAATTCAACTTATATCTTTTGAAAATGCCTTGACTTCAAAATTTAAGTATAAAGATATGTTACTTGGGAAAGGAGTTTTTATTTATGTTTTTACAGAAAATGAAAAGCTGAGGATTCCTTCCAGGCTTCTGTGGTTTGATGAACCAAGACCCCCGGAAGCAGTGGGCCAGGTGTTTCAACAATTGAGACAGCTAAGATGATGGAGCTTCACAGACCCTGAAAATAAGGACTTACACAGGTTTCTGAGTTTTGTCATGATCCCCATGGTATGAACAGCGCCCCCTTCCAGCACAAAGCCGTTTGGAATGAGCAATGTCCTAATTCCCATCTTGTTTATAAATCTTTGTTTTCATTTAAATGGGATTGTTTATAATTGGTTAATGATCACAACCAATCTCTTTTTAAAGGAAAAAGGGGAATTATGGTATGAGTATTGTTTTTCATTTAGTGATACAAATTCAAGGTCAATTTTGTGATATGTATGTTTCTCCTCTTGATTAAGTATTGTGCTTATACTGATCTTTTAAAATGTAATGCATAATTAAATACAGATTATAGATAGTTACTTATAATAGTCAGAACTTATAGTTAGGAGAGTTGGGTTTTCTAGATATAGAGAGATGTATTTGAGACAGATAGACAGTCTTCAAACCTTTCAAAGACCTTCAGAAAATGGCATTTAAAATGGTTTAGGGTTTTTCTTGACAATGAGAAATGTCTGCTCCTGGCAGCACCAATTACGTCTGAGAGGAAGATGGGCATCAAAGAAACTCGTTATGAAGTTTTCTTTCAACAACTGCTCTTGCCTAGGCTGTTTGATTGTTGCTGTATAAACTGGACATGCAGGACCCACAGGAAAGTGACTTCTGAACTCAGTCTTACAGGGTTCCTGCTTCATGAAAGAGTCTACGAGACTTTCTGCAGGACACAGAGAAATGACTGACAGACTGCCAATGCAGATGGACAGTTTTGAAATGTCCTACTTTGCTGAGAAATCTTCTGGATACATTGTGGCCTATGGACTGAAGATGGATGCCCCAATGTTACAGAGGAACTTTGGGTGACTGTCCAGGTAGCAAGATGTCTCTGTCAATCCTAGTGTTTATATATTATCCTTCTGTGGTCTTTGATGGAGTTGAAGACAGATAGTTATAGTTATAGTTTTCCTTAGTAATGATAAAAGATAAGCTACACATAGAACTTTGGACTCACAAGGATGGGATGGATGATATTTTCTTTAAATCTTGCTAAAATATTGTAACTATGTTCTTACTTGATAACTCTTCTGTTATATATAGTTTGACTATGTTAAAGTTAAGACCTTTCTTTTTGTTTAAACAGAAAAGAGGAGATGTTGGGGAAGTCCTGTGTATACATCAATAAAGCACTGTTGGCCAATAGGAAAGTAAGATAGGTGGGACTAGGAGTCCAGGAGGACTCTGGGAAGGAGAAACACAGAGAGTCAAGATGTAATGCCATGGAGTAGGAAGCCCGGAAACCTCTCCGGTAAGAGAAATCCTTAGATTAACAATTATGGGATAAATACTTAAGTCAGAGCTAGCCAGTAAGAAACAAGCAAGGCCAATAGCTTCATAATTAATATAGCCTCCTGTGTGTTTATTTGGGACTGATGCGGCTCTGGAACCAGGTTGGCAGGAAGGCTTCTCTCAAGGAAAAGGCTTCCCTTTACACCCTTCTCTCTCTCTTTTCTCTCTCTCCCCTTCTTTTGTCATCTCTCACTTTGCTCTCATTGCCTTTGTGTCTTAGCGGATGGGGTTGTCACTGCTCGCCTGCTGCCTGCCGGGCGATCCCCCGCCCCTGCCTCACTCCTTACTGGTCTGTGGCCTCAGCCTTAAATGACCATGTGTGATGTCCCTCTCCCACAGAGCCTTGTACCTTCTGTTAAGCAGGTAACTAGTCCATCCCACTAGACTTCCGTTGCACCCCGAACCTCTCTCTGCCACTGCACTCATAAACATGGAATCATATAATGCACGGGCTTCTGAGCTGTTCCCCTTTTAAAGCCCCAAGGACTCCCAGAACAAGGAGCATTTCTTGTCTGCCCATGACTCTGTCATCAGCGCTGAGATCTCTAACACTTGTGAACATGGTGTCAAGTGGTTCAGATGGGAACTAAGGGACATTTTCAAGGTTGCTGCTGAATCAGACAGAGCCTGGTGGCGTGACTATTAACATGAACGGTGAAGCCGAGCAAGCTGCTGAGGACCATGCCGTGACCAGGGGCGGTAAAGATGGCCGTGACCAAGGAGGAAAGAGGATGGAAGGCGAGCTAGGGGCTGAAAAGAGAAAGGACACAGACTCAGACCGTGACTCCGAACAGGACCAAGAGAAAGCTGTGTTCTAGGCGCCAGCTCTTTAGAGTTTCGGGTGTGGGGGCGGCTCTCTCATCCTCCCTGTAGACGAGGAATCTGTGTTTTCTGAGCTCTGCCGTGGCTCTTCTTCCTTTAGACCCCATGCTAGTGAGATGCAGGGTGAGCAGCTATTAGTCACTGTATGACTACACAAGGATCAATAGATGTGTAACCAGTTTATTGAAAGGGCTGAGCGTAATGAGTCCAAACAGGAAGCAGCTGTATTTTCCTCCTCCTACTGCTTTTCAATGTGTCAGAGTCCCCTACCCCACTCTTTCCTGACATGTCAAGTAGCAATCCATAGCTACTCGAATTTTTTAATGACAAAACAGAATTGGGTCTTATCTCCGTAACTACAAAACACTTCCAGGCAGTAAAAGCTATGCTAAATGAAATGTCTGATTCTCAGGTCTCATGCAAAGCTCCTCCCCATCCCATCAACACAGACTCAGCCCCTTGCAAGTGAGTGTGCTGTGGTCTTTGACTCCCCCTCTACTGACTTAGCCAGTTCTCTTGTGTTTCCAAATCAGAACAAGGAGCAAATGTCCAGAGAAAAGAACTTAATATTCTCCCTCAGATAATGTTGCTTATACTTTCAATTGACTACTGTTGGCCTCCCTGATACCATCAGGAAGTCCAAATGTTAACTTCTTGCAAGGACTGTTTTTGCTTAAATGCCTACAGATTTCTTGATGTGGACATGCTCTGGACAGCCCGTATGTTCACATACAAACATAACTGTGCAAACACACACACATATACATACACATGAACACACTCACATATTCACACAAACAAGCATACACACACTCACACATACTCACAAAACACAATCATATTCAGATGCATGCATTCACTGAGACAGAAACACTCAAATACATACAAAATAGCACACTCACACGTGCACACACACATGTTCTTATATACATTAAAAACACAACAATATATACACAGATAACACTCAATCAAGCACACACTTATTCATATACACAAATACACATAATCACACATGCACACACACTCATAGCAACACACACAAGACTCACACATTGACACACAAACACACATACAATCACAGTCTCACATACTCTTACATATTGACACACTCATCTATATTCACATTCACACTCAAACTCATGCTCTCATACGTTAACACACTCAAACACATGTACTCACACACAAGCACACACAGTTTTACACATATATACACTCAAACTCACTTATACAGTCACACAATCACACACCTCACTAATGTTCACACACACAAACTCACATATTTACACACTAACTGAACAAACACTCACACTAACTTCTGAACACTCACACTCACATGTACAGACATACACATATACACAAATAGATATTAATACATTCTTTCACAAACACTCATATATACATATGCACATGCACACAGGAGCCT